GGGTTAAGCAGGTCTTTTAACTCAAATTCGACGTATTATGCGACCATATAAATGGCGATCTATGTCATTTAAATTAGATGAAACTAAATGCTGGAGATTGGATCGCGAATGGAATTTGCGATCATAAGTGTTTCGATTCAAATTATTCTCCAATTCGTGGATTCAAAACATACTCATTCCCCAGGTGAGGCTCGAACTCACAACCTCCGCATTACTCAGTAACAGAACAGTACTGCCATATAAGTACGGCGCGCTAACCGATTGTGCCACTGGAGAAGATGAAACAACAAATTGAGTGCACTTTCAATAGAACAACCGCATTTTGTTCAATACAACTTGCGTCAGAAATACCGTGGAATTTTAATATTAGTTCTCTTTATTTAAATTCATATATAATTGTACGAATATAAGTTAAAAGTAATACATATACAGAACAAATACACTCATACTCATACGATGCAATTTATCCATTTTAATTGAGTGGGGTTAAGCAGGTCTTTTAACTCAAATTCGACGTATTTTGCGACCATATAAATGGCGATCGATGTCATTTAAATTAGATGAAACTAAATGCTGGAGATTGGATCGCGAATGGAATTTGCGATCATAAGTGTTTCGATTCAATTATTCTCCAATTCGTGGATTCAAAACATACTCATTCCCCAGGTGAGGCTCGAACTCACAACCTCCGCATTACTCAGTAACCGGGCAGTACTGCCATATAAGTACGGCGCGCTAACCGATTGTGCCACTGGAGAAGATGAAACAACTAATTGAGTGCACTTTCAATAGGATAACCGCATTTTGTTCAATACAACTTGCGTCAGAAATATCGTGGAATTTTAATATTAGTTCTCTTTATTTAAATTTGACGGTTCTTATATAATTGTACGAATATAAGTTAAAAGTAATACATATACAGAACAAATACACTCATACGTGGCTGATATTTAGCAGCACTGTTTATTATTAAAACTTTCTTGAAACTGGTGGGTAATAAAAAATGACTCGAATTGAAGATATCTTACTACTTGCATTGAAAGATTGACCATTAATGTCACGCGCAGTGTCTTTTTGTGACATTACTAACAATACGTCCAACACGTTTAATCCTTTTATTGTCCGATACATCATTTGTGGCCGGCTTTTCGTTTCGACTGACAACGTAGTATTTTGGCAATACTAAAGTCACTAAACTGTTTTCCGTTTACATGTCTTTCTTGTGTTCTCTCGCTATGTGTAATCGAGTAAACGTAATTTGGCGTCTGTTTCTTGCATGACTCCACCGACGACAGCGTGATTTCAGGTTTATATCGCGCAATACAATCCTCGTTCGCTTGGCTGTTAGTTGTTATATACTCGTGGTTATTGGATTTCTTATATCCTCGACGACGGGGCGGAAGTCGCTTTCAGCAAACATTTCTTTCCAACCCTCTGCTAGTCTCCAGAAATGACCGTGAGTCAGGTCATGTATACTACGAGGACTCTTGATGAAGCAATTGTTCAAAGAGAGGTTATGACAGATTGAATTCTTCCAGCCAGGGCCCTTCACACGATAATACGGAAAAGTTGTCTCTATATAGCGGTAGATATCTTTCAATGTAGCCCTCTGTTCCGCGTATGACCTTATAGCCAAGACAATAGTGCTACGAGGCTATACGGCGGTCGGTCTATTCATGACAATATACTGTGAGAGTTGAAATTACTGGTATACGGTGGATTGCCATATATATTCTGTGTGCGTGAGTAAACATCTGCAGCATACATTAAGTTACCTCTTGATTGTGCATCGTCATCTCGAATGATGTATTTTTTGTGAATTTAAGAATGGTTTGAGTCAACAAGGTAGACGTTAAGTCACCTTGAATCTGCATATTATTCAAAATAACCCAATCAGAGAGCAGGAAATCAAATGCCATTAACCCCTAATTACAATTCAGCACTTATTGGCGATAACCGAAGAAATTCACCTATTGTGATATCCGTAATAACATGTGCTTCGCACTTTCATAAATACCTCACCTGTTACATAATCTATATAAAGTGTATTGGGTTATTGTTTTATAGCATGCATAAATGAAATGTAATGTACGTGAAAATTATTGAATGTCATTCATGAAATGAGCATAGATCATCCGTGATTTCAATATGCCAATCAGTAAACGATCACAAGATGGCGCTCCAACAAACAGTCTGCTTAACAGCGCCCTCAAAATCGTAGAATTATATAACCGTCTTAAGCAAGTCAGTGACATCCATTCTTCTACCTGAATAATGCATCACCACTGGACGTTTTTAGCAGGCTTTGTAAACACTGGGTAAATAAATAAGTAAAAAACAGCACTTCACAGGATTGCAAGCAATTATCGTTAGATTTATACGTCAGCTGTGATGCCATTTATCCATTTTAATTGAATCGGGTTAATCAGGTGTTTAACTCAAATTCGACGTATTTGCAATTTTGTGACCATAAAAGTGGCGATCGATGTCATTTAAATTAGATGAAATAAATGCTGGAGATTGGATTGCGAATGGAATTTGCGATTTGGAAATGTTTCGATTCAATTGTTCTCCAATTCGTGGATCCAAAACATACTCATTCCACAGGTGAGGCTCGAACTCACAACCTTCGCATTACGCATTACTCAGTAACAGAGCAGTACTGCCATATAAGTAGGGCGCTCTAACCGATTGTGCCACTGGGGAAGATGAAACAACCCATTGAGTGCACTTTCAATAGGATAACCGCATTTTGTTTAATACAACTTGCGTCAGAAATGTCGTGGAATTTTAATATTAGTTCTCTTTATTTTAAATTTGACGGTTCATATATAATTGTACGAATATAAGTTTAAAGTAATACATATACAGAACAAATACACTCATACGTAGCTGATATTTAGCAGCACGGTTTATTATTAAAACTTTCTTGAAACTGGTGGGTAATACAAAATGACTCGACTTGAAGAAATCTGACTACTTGCATTGAAAGATTGACCAGGAATGTCACGCGCAGAGTCTTTTGTGTCATTACGAACAATACGTCCAACATGTTTAATCCTTTTATTGTCCGATACATCACAGTGGCCGGCTTTTCGTTTCGGCTGACAGCTCAGTATTTTGGCAATACTAAAGTCACTAAACTGTTTTCCGTTTACATGTCTTTCTTGTGTTCTCTCGCTACGTGTAATCGAGGAAACGTAATTTGGCATATGTTTCTTGCATGACTCCACCGACGACGACGTGCTTTCAGGTTTATATCGGGTAATATAATCCTCGTTCGCTTGGCTGTTCGTTGTTATAAACTCGTGGTTATTGGATTTCTAATATCCTCGACGACGACGGCGGAAGTCGCTTTCAGAAAACATTTCTTTCCAACCCTCCGCTAGTCTCCAGAAATGACCGTGAGTCAGGTCATGTATACTACGAGGACTCTTGATGAAGCAATTGTTCAAAGAGAGGTTATGACGGATTGATTTCTTCCAGCAAGGGCTCTTCTCACGATAACCCCTAAAAAATCGAAGAGCATCGGGGAAAATATTAATAATCATCCTTATCAATCGCTTGCTTTATTTTATTCGAATCTATGAAATTCACGATTTTTTTTTACATTTGTTGGCAACATCCGCGCTAAAAAAGTTATGGCTATAACTAAATTTGACACGTTTTTCTTTTAAGCCCAATAAATTATTCATACATGTCAAGCTCTGTTCGATTCTTTCAGGGCATATGGCCGTTTTTAGTCGAAAATATTTGTTGTGGGAACACTTTTATTCTCCAATTCGTGGATTCAAAACATACTCATTCCCCAGGTGAGGCTCGAACTCACAACCTCCGCATTACTCAGTAACAGAGCAGTACTGCCATATAAGTACGGCGCGCTAACCGATTGTGCCACTGGGGAAGATGAAACAAACAATTGAGTGCACTTTCAATAGTATAACCGCATTTTGTTCAATACAACTTGCGTCAGAAATCTCGTGGAATTTTAATATTAGTTCTCTTTATTTAAATTTGACGGTTCATATATAATTGTACGAATATAAGTTAAAAGTAATACATATACAGAACAAATACACTCACACGTAGCTGATATTTAGCAGCACGGTTTATTATTAAAACTTTCTTGAAACTGGTGGGTAATACAAAATGACTCGAATTGAAGATATCTGACTACTTGCATTGAAAAATTGGCCAGGAATGTCACGCTCAGTGTCTTTTGTGACATTACTAACAATACGTCCAACACGTTTAATCCTTTTATTATCCAATACATCACAGTGTCCGGCTTTTCGTTTCGACTGACAACGTAGTATTTTGGCAATACTAAAGTCACTAAACTCATTTCCGTTTACATGTCTTTCTTGTGTTCTCTCGCTATGTGTAATCAAGGAAACGTAATTTGGCGTCTTTTTCTTGCATGACTCCACCGACGACGGCGTGCTTTCAGGTTTATATCGCGCAATATAATCCTCGTTCGCTTGGCTGTTAGTTGTTATAAACTCGTGGTTATTGGATTTCTTATATCCTCGACGACGGCGGCGGAAGTCGCTTTCAGCAAACATTTCTTTCCAACCCTCTGCTAGTCTCCAGAAATGACCGTGAGTCAGGTCATGTATACTACGAGGACTCTTGATGAAGCAATTGTTCAAAGAGAGGTTATGACGGATTGATTTCTTCCAGCATGGGCTCTTCTCACGATAATACGGAAAAGTTGTCTCTATATAGCGGTAGATATCTTTCAATGTAGCCCTCTCTTCCGCGTATGACCTTATAGCCAAGACGATAAGTGCTACGAAGCTATACGGCGGTCGGTCTATGCATGACAATCTATTGTGAGAGTTGAAATTACTGGTATACGGTGGATTGGCATACATATGCTGTGTGCGTGAGTAAATATCTGCAGCATACATTAAGTTACCTCTTGGATTGTGCATCGTCATCTCGAATGATGTAATTTTTGTGAATTTAAGAATGGCTTGAGTCAACAAGGTAGACCATATGTCACCTTGAAATCTGCATATTATTCAAAATAACCCAATCAGAGAGCAGGAAAACAAATGGCATTAACCCCTAATTAAAATACAGCACTTAATGGCGATAATCGAACAAATTTACCTATTGTGTTATCCCTAATATCATGTGCTTTGCACTTTCATAAATATCTCACCTGTTACATAATCTATATAAAGTGTATTGGGTTATTGTTTTATAGCATGGATGAATGAAATGTAATGTACGTGAAAATTATTGAATATCATTCTTGAAATGAACATAGATCATCCGTAATTTCAATTTGCCAATCAGTAAACGATCACAAGATGGCGCTCCAACAAACAGTCTGCTTAACAGCGCCCTCAAAATAGTAGAATTATATAACCGTCTTAAGCAAGTCAATGACATCTATTCTTCTACCTGAATAATGCATCACCACTGGACGTTTTTAGCAGGCTTTGTAAACACTGGGTAAATAAATAAGTAAAAAACAGCACTTCACAGGATTGCAAGCAATTATCGTTAGATTTATACGTCAGCTGTGATGCCATTTATCCATTTTAATTGAGTCGGGTTAAGCAGGTGTTTAACTCAAATTCGACGTATTTGCAATTTTGCGACCATATAAATGGCGAGCGATGTCATTTAAATTAGATGAAACTAAATGCTGGTGATTGGATCGCGAATGGAATTTGCGATTTGGAAATGTTTCGATTCAATTATTCTCCAATTCGTGGATTCAAAACATACTCATTCCCCAGGTGAGGCTCGAACTCACAACCTCCGCATTACTCAGTAACAGAGCAGTACTGCCATATAAGTACGGCGCGCTAACCGATTGTGCCACTGGGGAAGATGAAACAAACAATTGAGTGCACTTGCAATAGTATAACCGCATTTTGTTCAATACAACTTGCGTCAGAAATCTCGTGGAATTTTAATATTAGTTCTCTTTATTTAAATTTGACGGTTCATATATAATTGTACGAATATAAGTTAAAAGTAATACATATACAGAACAAATACACTCACACGTAGCTGATATTTAGCAGCACGGTTTATTATTAAAACTTTCTTGAAACTGGTGGGTAATACAAAATGACTCGAATTGAAGATATCTGACTACTTGCATTGAAAGATTGGCCAGGAATGTCACGCGCAGTGTCTTTTGTGACATTACTAACAATACGTCCAACACGTTTAATCCTTTTATTATCCAATACATCACAGTGTCCGGCTTTTCGTTTCGACTGACAACGTAGTATTTTGGCAATACTAAAGTCACTAAACTCATTTCCGTTTACATGTCTTTCTTGTGTTCTCTCGCTATGTGTAATCGAGGAAACGTAATTTGGCGTCTTTTTCTTGCATGACTCCACCGACGACGGCGTGCTTTCAGGTTTATATCGCGCAATATAATCCTCGTTCGCTTGGCTGTTAGTTGTTATAAACTCGTGGTTATTGGATTTCTTATATCCTCGACGACGGCGGCGGAAGTCGCTTTCAGCAAACATTTCTTTCCAACCCTCTGCTAGTCTCCAGAAATGACCGTGAGTCAGGTCATGCATACTACGAGGACTCTTGTTGAAGCAATTGTTCAAAGAGAGGTTATGACGGATTGATTTCTTCCAGCAAGGGCTCTTCTCACGATAATACGGAAAAGTTGTCTCTATATAGCGGTAGATATCTTTCAATGTAGCCCTCTGTTCCACATATGACCTTATAGCCAAGACGATAAGTGCTACGAAGCTATACGGCGGTCGGTCTATGCATGACAATCTATTGTGAGAGTTGAAATTACTGGTATACGGTGGATTGGCATACATATGCTGTGTGCGTGAGTAAATATCTGCAGCATACATTAAGTTACCTCTTGGATTGTGCATCGTCATCTTGAATGATGTAATTTTTGTGAATTTAAGAATGGCTTGAGTCAACAAGGTAGACCATATGTCACCTTGAAATCTGCATATTATTCAAAATAACCAAATCAGAGAGCAGGAAAACAAATGGCATTAACCCCTAATTAAAATACAGCACTTAATGGCGATAATCGAACAAATTTACCTATTGTGTTATCCGTAATATCATGTGCTTTGCACTTTCATAAATATCTCACCTGTTACATAATCTATATAAAGTGTATTGGGTTATTGTTTTAAAGCATGGATGAATGACATGTAATGTACGCGAAAATTATTGAATATCATTCTTGAAATGAACATAGATTATCCGTAATTTCAATTTGCCAATCAGTAAACGATCACAAGATGGCGCTCCAACAAACAGTCTGCTTAACAGCGCCCTCAAAATAGTAGAATTATATAACCGTCTTAAGCAAGTCAATGACATCTATTCTTCTACCTGAATAATGCATCACCACTGGACGTTTTTAGCAGGCTTTGTAAACACTGGGTAAATAAATAAGTAAAAAACAGCACTTCGATCGATGTCATTTAAATTAGATGAAACTAAATGCTGGAGATTGGATCGCGAATGGAATTTGCGATTTGGAAATGTTTCGATTCAATTATTCTTCAATTCGTGGATTCAAAACATACTCATTCCCCAGGTGAGGCTCGAACTCACAACCTCCGCATTACTCAGTAACAGAGCAGTACTGCCATATAAGTACGGCGCGCTAACCGATTGTGCCACTGGGGAAGATGAAACAAACAATTGAGTGCACTTTCAATAGTATAACCGCATTTTGTTCAATACAACTTGTGTCAGAAATCTCGTGGAATTTTAATATTAGTTCTCTTTATTTAAATTTGACGGTTCATATATAATTGTACGAATATAAGTTAAAAGTAATACATATACAGAACAAATACACTCATACGTAGCTGATATTTAGCAGCACGGTTTATTATTAAAACTTTCTTGAAACTGGTGGGTAATACAAAATGACTCGAATTGAAGATATCTGACTACTTGCATTGAAAGATTGGCCAGGAATGTCACGCGCAGTGTCTTTTGTGACATTACTAACAATACGTCCAACACGTTTAATCCTTTTATTATCCAATACATCACAGTGTCCGGCTTTTCGTTTCGACTGACAACGTAGTATTTTGGCAATACTAAAGTCACTAAACTCATTTCCGTTTACATGTCTTTCTTGTGTTCTCTCGCTATGTGTAATCGAGGAAACGTAATTTGGCGTCTTTTTCTTGCATGACTCCACCGACGACGGCGTGCTTTCAGGTTTATATCGCGCAATATAATCCTCGTTCGCTTGGCTGTTAGTTGTTATAAACTCGTGGTTATTGGATTTCTTATATCCTCGACGACGGCGGCGGAAGTCGCTTTCAGCAAACATTTCTTTCCAACCCTCTGCTAGTCTCCAGAAATGACCGTGAGTCAGGTCATGTATACTACGAGGACTCTTGATGAAGCAATTGTTCAAAGAGAGGTTATGACGGATTGATTTCTTCCAGCAAGGACTCTTCTCACGATAATACGGAAAAGTTGTCTCTATATAGCGGTAGATATCTTTCAATGTAGCCCTCTGTTCAGCGTATGACCTTATAGCCAAGACGATAAGTGCTACGAAGCTATACGGCGGTAAGTCTATGCATGACAATCTATTGTGAGAGTTGAAATTACTGGTATACGGTGGATTGGCATACATATGCTGTGTGCGTGAGTAAATATCTGCAGCATACATTAAGTTACCTCTTGGATTGTGCATCGTCATCTTGAATGATGTAATTTTTGTGAATTTAAGAATGGCTTGAGTCAACAAGATAGACCATATGTCACCTTGAAATCTGCATATTATTCAAAATAACCAAATCAGAGAGCAGGAAAACAAATGGCATTAACCCCTAATTAAAATACAGCACTTAATGGCGATAATCGAACACATTTACCTATTGTGTTATCCGTAATATCATGTGCTTTGCACTTTCATAAATATCTCACCTGTTACATAATCTATATAAAGTGTATTGGGTTATTGTTTTAAAGCATGGATGAATGACATGTAATGTACGCGAAAATTATTGAATATCATTCTTGAAATGAACATAGATTATCCGTAATTTCAATTTGCCAATCAGTAAACGATCACAAGATGGCGCTCCAACAAACAGTCTGCTTAACAGCGCCCTCAAAATAGTAGAATTATATAACCGTCTTAAGCAAGTCAATGACATCTATTCTTCTACCTGAATAATGCATCACCACTGGACGTTTTTAGCAGGCTTTGTAAACACTGGGTAAATAAATAAGTAAAAAACAGCACTTCGATCGATGTCATTTAAATTAGATGAAACTAAATGCTGGAGATTGGATCGCGAATGGAATTTGCGATTTGGAAATGTTTCGATTCAATTATTCTCCAATTCGTGGATTCAAAACATACTCATTCCCCAGGTGAGGCTCGAACTCACAACCTCCGCATTACTCAGTAACAGAGCAGTACTGCCATATAAGTACGGCGCGCTAACCGATTGTGCCACTGGGGAACATGAAATAAACAATTGAGTGCACTTTCAATAGTATAACCGCATTTTGTTCAATACAACTTGTGTCAGAAATCTCGTGGAATTTTAATATTAGTTCTCTTTATTTAAATTTGACGGTTCATATATAATTGTACGAATATAAGTTAAAAGTAATACATATACAGAACAAATACACTCATACGTAGCTGATATTTAGCAGCACGGTTTATTATTAAAACTTTCTTGAAACTGGTGGGTAATACAAAATGACTCGAATTGAAGATATCTGACTACTTGCATTGAAAGATTGGCTAGGAATGTCACGCGCAGTGTCTTTTGTGACATTACTAACAATACGTCCAACACGTTTAATCCTTTTATTATCCAATACATCACAGTGTCCGGCTTTTCGTTTCGACTGACAACGTAGTATTTTGGCAATACTAAAGTCACTAAACTCATTTCCGTTTACATGTCTTTCTTGTGTTCTCTCG